TTTTTCACGTGTTTTGATTGTAGTGAATCCTACTGGCGGCGCCGTCGGCTCGTGGAAGCGTACCAAGCAAACAAGAAGAAACAACAGAAAATTCTAGAAAAAAACAGGCGTCCGCCTTGAAACAATAAGAAAGAAGTGTGGGAAACTGCGGCTGCCAACGATCGTATTAATGCGACACCTAAAAACACGAACCGTCATAGGTTGTCCCCAAGTGTTTCTCGATGGCTCCCGTTTTCCCGTGTGAAAACACATGGTTGTTTATGATGTGCATGTTGCTCCTGTTTTCCTGGTAAGCTTCCTCGGCCCAACGGCGCCGCCACTGGAAATTCATTACAATCAAAATCAATGTGCAAATGTATTACACATTTAATTTGGTTGTAGACTTTCAAATTGATTTGAGGGTACGCGTTTTTCAGAGTGTATTTGGTTGTCTGGCTTTTCGAATTGTTCCACTTGTAGAGACTACTAAAGGCGGCGCCGTGGTCCCGCGGAAACTAACCATGAATACAAAAAACAATACAGTAAAAACTGGGCAAAGCTTTTGTTTTCAAAGAAATAAAAGAAAAAAAAACGTTGGCTGGCAGCGTTTTCATAGCGCAGATGATCTACAATTAAAATGCTTGTGTAGCGGCCTTTACATAAGGATTCCTCGTGTGGCGACCCTACACAAGGATTTCCAGTGTGGAGGGTATGCGATGGTCTCCACAATTCGAATCGTGCTGTAGCAGCCTGTACAACGGAATTCCGTTTGTGGTGGCCTTACAGAAGGGTTTTAATTCTGGGGAATCAAGAAAAATCCCGACCATTAGAAAAAGTGTGAAAAACCACACAATCAAATTCAATGTACGAACCCGTGCAATCAACATCAGCTTGAAAACCTCCACACTCAAATTCAAGTTGCAAATCCCCACTAACGAAATCAAGTTGTGATCATTTACACATTGATTTTGGGTGTAATGGATTTCCAGAGGCGGCGCCGTGGAGCCGCGGAAGCTTACCAAGAAAACGAGAAAAACCGGAAAAGCAAGAAGAAGTTTGCGTTTTCACCGACAAACCAGGGAAACTGTTTTTCACAACAAGTCAAAGGAAACCTGTGATCGTCAGTGTGTATATTTTTTGTGCCAATAATTACAAACTCTGACAGTCACAGTTGTTCCTCAATGTTTGGTTTTTTCTCCCATGAAAACACAAGCTGTTTCTTGGTTGTCCTGTTTTTCCTGTTTTCCTGGTAAGCCTCCGTGGGCCCACGGCGCAACCACTAGGATTCACTTCAATCAAAAACAGATTGAAAAGCCACACAATCAAATGTGATGTGAAAACCGTTCAATCAAAATCAATATGAAAATCCACACAATCAAATCCAATGTGTACATTCCCACAAAGGAAATCAATGTGCAATCCATTTACACATTGATTTCGGTTGTAATAGATTTCCAACAACGGCGACGTGGGCCCGCGGAAGCTTAACAGGGGGGAAAAAAACATGACAAGTATGAAACGAAATGTGTTTGCACATGGAAAATAAGAAGAACTTAGGACAAACTGTGACTGCCAGCGTTTTGACTGCTGCAACAAATTTACACACCAAAATCAATGGTTTCCTTGGCTTGTTTTCAAGCTTTCCTGTCTTATCATATGACAACACAGGTTGATTCATGTTTTTCCTGGTTGTCTTATGTTCCTTCTATGCTTCCGCGGCCCCACGGCGCCGCCTCTGGGAATCTATTACAAACAAAATCACCTTGCAATTGGATTACACATTGATTTCACGTGTGGGGATTTGCAAATTGAATTTGGTTGTGGAGATGTTCAAATTGATGTTGACTGCACGGATTTGCAAATTGAATATGATTGCAAGGCTTTTCACATGTGTTTCTTATCGTAGGGAATTTTGTTGACCCCCCACAATTAAAACCGTTCAATAAGGCCGCCACAAGAGGTATTCCTGTTAACAGGCTGCTACAAGACTATTCTAATTGTGGAGGGCACTGCATATCCTCCACAATTAAAGCCCTTTTGTAAGGTCGCCACAACAGGAATCCTTTCGTAAAGGCCGCTGCAAAAGGATTTTAAGTGTAGTTCATCTGCAGTATAAAGACAGCGACAATCACAGGTTGTCCTAGGTTTTTCCGTATTTCCCGTTTTTTCCAAATGGAAACACAAAATGTCTCGTGTTTTTCCTGTTGGTCCTGTTTTCCTGGTAAATTTCCGCGGCCCCACGGCGCCTCCTCTGGAAATCCATTACAATCAAAATCAATGTGCAAATAGATTGCACATTGATTTCATGTGTGGGGGTTTACAAATTGAATTTGATTGTGGGAACTGTCAAATTGACCTTCATCATGGAGAACTGTGATATGTGCAAGAAACGATACATGTCGGTAAAAAACAGACAAGAACATCTGGCTGTCATCACATGAGCGGCGGGTCCCACGTAGGGGGGGCGCACGCCACGGGAAGGAGCGCGGGTGTTCGCGCGGGCTAGAGAAGGCGCGATCGGGAGGCGAGGGCGCGACTCGCACGCCGCCTCGGCCCGTCCCCACGTGGGTGGGCTCGGCGAGCGGCGAACATCGCAAACCCGACCGGCCATCCAGATACAGGAGCTCGCATGACGTGTCCTCGTCTTCGCCCCTCCTCATTTTCATGATCGCAAACGTGCAGCGTGATCATGATAATTGTCATCATCATTATCACCATCATCATCGTCATCGCCGTGATCGTCGGCGTCTTATCACAACCACCACCATCATCGCCATCATCACCACCATCACCTTCCTTATTATGCTAAGCTGCATTTTTCGAAGCGCGCTTATCGCCGTCGCCTGCTCTATCATCGAGGCTCGATGTAGCCATGCCGGCTCGGTGGTGCCCCGGCGAACGCGCTGCGGTGGAAAAAAGAGGAGGCGCGAAAGCGGAAGGGAGAAGGGCGACGACCAAGGCTCAAGGTTCCAGGGTCGGCCGCGCCCTGAAAGGCCGCAGCCCACAACAAGAATGAAAAATAGCGGTGGGGGGGGGCACCGGTGGCCGAGGGGCCAGCCGAAGGGCCGCGAAGACCGAGCGCGCGCGAGGGCCTGGAGAAAAGCCAAGCGAAGGAGGTCGGGAAGGTGGACCGCCGGAGGGCTGGGTGCTGCCCCCC